GTGCAGCACTTGCTTCTAGTGTACATGCAGAACCAGCTAGTATCTGTTGTACATATCCAGTACACTGTCCTCTGCTGTACATGTCCAGTACACTGCCCTCTGCTGTACATGTCCAGTACACTGGCCTCTGCTATGTTTTGCCAGTACAAGAGGTACAAGAGGCCTCGACTATCGGAAAAAAACTACAGCCAACGCACCCACGGGGACCGAAAGGTCGTACTACAGGCTGATTTTGTTCAAATCACGCTTGAAATTAGTTCGTCTTCACGAAAGTTCGCCGTACAGGGTTCGTCGTAAACGAATAATTTTGACTTGATATGATGCCTGGCCAACCCTTGGATTGGCCCTAGTTCGTACTAAAGGAAAGTTCAGCGTCCGTCCTAACGAGATTTGACTGTATATACAGGGGCATCGGAAGGAATTTTTGTGTTGTACGGTCGGCCATCTGAAGTAAAATTTACTCGTGGAGGAGGGGTGGTTGCGCCCAACATTTTGGAAATTTCGATCCCAGATCAGTGTATTTTATTAATTCACGGGGTACCTGGGGCAAAAAGTGGTACGGTCAATACCGTAGTGACCGTACCGTGTCCAATGTCCCTGATATACATGTCAAGTGTTTACCATGGGATGTATGAAAAACATCAGTGTTAACCCGGGGATGATTCCCGGTTTAGTTGGCCAGCGTTATACATTATCTATGGTCGACCCTTTGTTTAGTGCCCCCCCTTCCCCTTTGCCCTTCTCCTCTGCCCTGCCCCCCCCCCCCCCCTGGAGGGCTAGAGCTAGAAGCAATTCCAATCACAGTTTCCCTGAAATCACAGGGTTGCGAAATCTACCCCGGTGTGCGCGATGTGCGCGACGTAATGTAGGAGTTTCGCCAGGTGCTGGGTCAATGCCAGTTGCACACTCTCGGGGTGTTATGGATTTTTGTTGAATGCAACGGAACTTGTTGTTTCTATGGTAACACTACATCGTATACCGGTAGTGCCTATGGTTACTTTGAGACAAGTACCCGAACACGATATCTGGTACAGACTAACTTCTGATATGCGGATGGCTTAGATGGTCGTTACATGTATGGGTTAAGAATACCAAAAATTGATGTCATTGTCGATGTGTGCGTCATTCTGTGTGTGTATGTGTGTGTGTGTGTGTGTGTCTATGTGTCTGTGTGTGCGTGTGTGTCTATGTGTTGTACCGCTCTTTCTTTAAAACTGTACAGGTCGCTCAGAACCTGGATCCTGGCAGCAGCGCGGACATTGAATTGTTCAAGGTTAGTGGCGACATGTGTAACCATTGTTCAACAGTCGCTTTCTTGCTGTAATTATTATACTCTATCATTGTGTGTGTGTGCACGTGTGTGTGTGTGCACGCGTGTGCATGTGTGTGTGTGTGTGTGTGTGCACATGCGTGTGTGCACGTGCATACGTGTGTGTGTGTGTATGTGCACGTGCACGTGCATACGTGTGTGTGTGTGTGTGTGTGTGTGTGTTGGTAACTTTCTGTTCAGGTGTTTATCGACAGTTTTCGCTCCATTATCAACTCGCAGGAAAGTGATACAAAGGAAATCTCAATAGCTATTCGAGGCTATGGCTACTTTGCCGAGGTCAGTGTGTGTGTGTGTGTGTGTGTGTGTGCGTGTGCGTGTGCGCGTGTGCGTGTGCGCGCGTCTGCGCGTCTGCGCGTGTGCGTGTGTGCCCCCTTCTGCCCCCTCCCCTCTCCCTTTCCCTCTCTTATTTTTGACAGTTGTTGTCTTGTCTGTGGAAGGCAATGGGATCACCTCTTGTAATTCCTGTCAAGTTTGTTCTACAGAAGAGTCCATTCTAGACTTTTCTGGTCACCAGCATATCCACTCCGTCTCTTGTTTGCCCTGTGTTGTCCTATGGTACTCATCGTCTTTCCTCTTTGTGATTTCTTTGCTGCTGCTGCTGCTGCTGCTGCTGTTGCTGCTGTTGTTGTTGTTACTGCGAGCAGCCCTGCCGTCGCTTTATGACCAGTAAAGATTTGCAGTTCATGTTCAACGACATGATTCAGCGCAGCGAGCACTTGTTTGTCACGTAAGGTTCTGGATGAAAACATTTCTTTTAGTGATGGCCAAACTGTGCATGCATCTGTGCCTTCATCCATACAGGGTTGTGGCGTCCCTACAGATGCGCAAAACCAGACCTCCAGCCAAGTCTCACATGAACCGTGAAAGAAATGTGCATGCTCCACTGGCCAGCCAGCCAGCCGTGTTCAAGGTGGCTGTCCCTCTCCCTGCCTCTCTCTCGTCTCTGTCTGTTTGTTGTTTAGCCTGCCAACCTAGCCTGCCTGGCCCTGCCCTGCCGTGCCGTGCCCTGTCCTGCCCTGCCCTTCCCCATGCCCTGCTCTGCCCTGCCCTGGCCTGGGAGGATGCGTCTCTAGCGCTATGCCTCATATCAAGAGTAGATAAACAAGAGTGTGCAACTCCGCATCTCTTCTGCACAATCTGCAGATACCCCAGCCCACAGCGGAATTTTTTGTTGGCCACGGCGGAATTTTTTGTTGACGTCACCTTTTTCAGAAAACACGACGTGTGTCGTACAGAGCACACGCAACTGGCACAGGGCAATGTGAGAGCACGTGCTGGGTACCGGCCTTCATCGCGAGTTTGTGTTTTCAAAAACGAATACACTCCCGCTCCTGTAGTTTTTTCCGTGTACGGGTTTTTTGCTGAGGTCGAAAGTACGCCGTTCACTTTCCTCCGGCCGGACACGACTTCAAGTGATGTTCAACTGATCAAGACTGGGTGCCGAGACTGCGAGAGTCTCAACATTGGGGTTCGTGCTCAACTTTTCCACTGCGCGATATTTCACCCACGACTCGTGGACAGCAACCCTTTGGTGGCTGACGAGCGCTTCGCTGCAGGTGTTTTCCACCTGTGAATCACCAAAGGCCACAACGATACTTTCTTCCACTGAGAGATAAGAATAAGAATGATCCGTCTCCGCAGGTAGTCTGCCCGAGACTACGATGGTGCGAAATAGGAGAAGTAGGACCAACCAAAGATTGAGAAACGCAAAGGACTACAGGGACAAGGCCCTACACGTAGTCCTTGTCCCTTTAGTCCTTCGCTTGAGAATTTGAACAAGAAGACAAAACGACGAGCTGATTCCAAAAGGTGACAAAAGCACGATGTTTGAGTTCACAGGTTCATGCGCTTGGTGTACTGACTGCAAATTTTCCGATTGGCATCGGCTGTGAAAACTCGAGGCTGCGAATTCATCAGGTAAAATGGCAAGTTAACCCTTTGGAGTCCATGGTTCGATTTCGAACCATGGGCATTTTGTATGCATGTGGGCGCAGTCAAACTTTCGGTTCTCGACCAAATCATGACCAAATACAACAATCGAAGGGTCTAGATGGTAGAGAAAACTCTCAGCTATCACCTCGAACAGGTCCGAAGTCTCTCCGATTTAGTTTGAGTGAGCGGCGAGCGATCAAACATTTCGAATTTTCTGCGCTGCGTGCTGCGAGTCAGCGGTGCGTGAAAAAAAGGGATTTTCCCAGCTTCATGACAGGCGCGGCGCGGCGCGAAGTCACGGCAAGGTAAGCTTCTACTAAAAAAAAAGTGAACAGTTCCGAGCAAGATTCAGTGAAATGGGTACAGGAGACCGATTTCGTCTCAGATCTGGAGCTGGACTCGCGTTTGGGGTGCGTTGTGGCGGACAATGAAAAGTGCTCTTGGCGAGTTTGGGCTCATTGTATTTCTCTCATCAAGAGCTTTCCAACGAGCGCAAGATCTTCAAAATCGGTGAAGTAGGACCAAAGTTATGTTGGAAATGGAGTGCGCATTTTCGTGACTGCCACAAATTCTGCGGAAGCAAAAAAGTTACGGACTCCAAAGGGTTAAGCGAACGTATAGCCCGGCCAAGTGCTCGAGGCAAAACTTCCCCGAACTACTCGCAGCACGTGCGTCGTGCGGCATGACTCATGATTTTCAGAAAAGATGACGTCAACGAAAAATTTCGCAGTGAGCCATCCCATCCCGGAGTTGCACACTCTTGTTTATCTACTCTTGATCACATCTGTTTGTTTCAGCTACACATCCCTCTAGCAACAGATATGATAGCTAGCACAGTAGTCCTCACTGGACAAGGAGTTTAGGAGACTCTAACGAGGAGTGTGCGAGGATAGCTTGGTAGCACTTCCACGTAGTCAATTGCACACTCGCAAATTACTGTAATATTTTAGTCTTCTGGGTTGTCTGCTGAATGCCTAAGGGCATGGAGTCACTGGTTACAGCGAATCTGAATAGTGGCACTCTCCAACTTGTGTGCATGCTGGCTGGCTTAGCGTAGGAAATTAGAATGCACGTCATGAAAATTACTAGTGGCGGTCGTATACTCTAATTTCAGAAACTTTCGGTGCTCAATATTTTCGGTATGAGGGCAACAGGCTAGGTTAGGTGTTCAGAAATTTTCGGTACGGAGAAGCAGGTCCCTATTGGATTATGTGTGTTAGTGTTTGTTCGGTGTATTGAAATTTTAGGTATGAAACAGGTGCACCGAAAGTACCGAAAATAAAAATACACCGAAAATTTGTGAAATTACAGCAGTCCTCATGTACGTTGTACAGATGCACAACGTTCTGTACTAGTCCGCCCTTGTTTTACCCGCACCTGCGATGATGTCATCACTATTTTGCCCCTCCGTACACGTCATGCACAACGGTGTCAGTCATAGGCGTGCAACTCAATGCAAAGCATGGTCGATGATGTCATTCATTGGCGTGCAACTCAATGCAAAGCATGGTCGATGATGTCATTCATTGGCGTGCAACTCAATGCAAAGTTGTGTTTAAACCGAACACGGATTCTTCGAACGAATAATCTATCGAATAATTTCGCCCTCCATCGAACGAATAATCTATATTCTATCATACACATGATGGCATTTTTCAACACTTTTTCAGCACTTTTTAAGTAGTTTTTTTTGATTTTTTTGCTGATTATCGGATTTTGTTATGTGGAGGTGCAAAACCGGTTAACCTGTACCGCCAAGAGTACATAAACCCCCAGAGTGTGCAACGCCTGATACAGCTCTGCATAGGGTCTTGGTCGAAAGTGGTCAAAGACCGAAAATCACATTCACTGCATCCATGTTTCCCTCGTATGGAAAGAACAGAAATATTACTTGTAGATACCGATAGGAGATTAAAACTTGGAGGAGATGAGATTGAGAAGAAATACTACGAGCAGATCTACGCAGTGCAAATATCAGGAGGGTCAGCACTGAGCATAGATCATTTTTTCTTTTTTTTTTTTTTTTTTTTTTCGATTTCTGATAATTCCTACGACTATTCGATTATTCGTTCACCCCACGAATATTCTACTTGGTCCGCGTCAGCAATATTGTCGCTTATCTTTTGACAATTTGAACTTAGACTTTGGACATAAACGCGTGCACTTGAAGTGATAAAACTTGGTACGATGGACGGTAAGGTATAGAATGACAACTAGCTGCGAGGAATTTATTGTCCAAGGAAGGGTTCCTACTTTTTTCGGTCCTCCTCGTCGCTGCTCTCGGCGCTGGCGACAAATATTTTTGCTCGGGATCGACTCTCTTGCTTTTGCAAGCTCATCTCTCTTCCTCTCCGCTGCCTGGCTATTTTCTAAAGAGAAGTCGATCGTGACGGTCGCCTTCTCTATAGGACTTCGCCTGGGCAGCACGGCAGCCTGTGTGGTTCAAATCAGACGCCGTTCTTTGAAAGATTTTATTTTGAACGACGACGACGCGTTCAGTACAGTCATGTACTTGCAAATCTCCACGACGCGCTGGATACTCCGAGCGAGGAGCTGGAGGTAAGGGAGGTGCGATCTCAGCTTGATGAGCGATCCCTGAGGTGAGCGATCTCGGCCGTTCAGCAAAATGGAGCTGATTCCGAGTAGCCGATTACTTTCTTGTGGCTTGCGCTGCTCTTGCCTGCACAGCGTAACAAGATAATCTATTTTGATGCGGCGCTGTATCAATCAGAATCACCCACCTGTCGCTCTCGAAATCCACTCGAACTCTAGCTAGACCTTTCAGGTACTAGCAAACTAACTTGCTAACCAAAATTGGGATGAAATGGGCTGCCAAGTAAGCATTGGCGACATATAAACAAAGCTGAAAGATAAGCGACAATATCACTGACGCGGACCAAGTAAATTATTCGATTATTCGATTATTAGTTTCAACACTAATGCAAAGCATGGTCGATGACGTCATTCATTGGCGTGCAACTCAATGCAAAGCATGGTCGATGATGTCATTCATTGGCGTGCAACTCAATGCAAAGCATGGTCGATGATGTCATTCATTGGCATGCAACTCAATGCAAAGCATGGTTGATGATGTCATTCATGGGCGTGCAACTCAATGCAAAGCATGGTCGATGATGTCGTTCATTGGCGTGCAACTCAATGCAAAGCATGGTCGATGATGTCATTCATTCCACTCTTCTCTGGCGTGTCCTAACCTGTCGTGTTCTGCCCAGTGAGGAAGACTTGTTCGAGGACAAGCTGTCTCACTTGCCCAGTTTCCTGGACGCCTTGGCTAATATTCTGCGTGAGATGAACGATGTAAGTCTGCACCTGCTCTACCCACTGGTGCCTGTCTGAGCACCTAAGTTACTTGAATCGCTGTGTGTGTGTGTGTGTGTGTGTGTGTGTGTGTGTGTGTGTCGGTCAATTCTTCAGCCTTGCAAGCTGTTGAATGGTGCGGTCCCAGCACAAGTTGCTATGGCTTCTGCTGTAGCATCGCTATCATCGCCTCCGGCGATGGGCGTCCAATGGTCAAATGGTGTGTGTGTGTGTGTGTGTGTGTGTGTGTGTGTGCACGAGCGGATGTGTGTGAGTCTGTGTGTGTGCGTGCGTGTGTGCGTGTGTTGGTGTGTTGGTGTATGTTGGGGGGTGATGTGCGTGGATGCATATCTGTGTGTGCTCGTTTAAGCGGCACCAGAGGATGTTCCCGGAGCGCAAGGCGATCGGTGGTGTTTCTTTCTGTCACTCTTTTGTATTTGGTGCAGGTGTCGGAAACCTCCGTGGTGTCTCTGGAGAAGTTGGTAGTGCTACTGATGGACCAGTACCCGCGCTTTGCAGTTGGCTACCACACACAATGCTACCGTGCATTGTCCAAGGTCATGCTGGCATTGGCACCTCACACATCCGTACTCAGCTCCTTCCTGTCGCACATCAGTAAGTAGCCTGAGGACCTGTTGAACTTTTACCATCTCCCGGTGCTGTTCTGTTCAGGGGGTGCATGGGCTGGGGCCGCCAGAAAGGTTACAGCACTCGTAAAACGAGCGCTGACTTTGTTGTCGACAGAAAGGTCACGCCGTTTGTAAAGCAAGTGAATGATGAGTTGCTGACTGCCTTTCGTTTGGGCGGGGGGCGTACCTGTAGCATGGCAACACCCGGTGTCATATTGTAAGTTCAACTCATAGCTTGGGGATTCGATTGTGAGGTCCCGGGGCTGGTGGGTTGTTAGTGAGGGGCCCAGCAGGTTTTTATTTATTTATTTTAATTTTTTATTTTATGAAAGTGCATATGCCTACATAGAATGGAAGAGAACAACAACAGTAGCAAGTTGAGTCATGTATTGCGGGGTTCCTGCTGAGTCTCTCTGTGTATCTGCTATCCCGGTGCTTATGTGTACATTGCCTGTAGCTTACCAAGGTCTGATCCGCTCCTGCTCTCATCCCGTACTCCTCGACGAGGTGAGTCAATATATTACTACTACGTGTACAGGACCACCGCCGGAAGCAGTGTTTGAGTGGTCCGGCCATACCATAGACCTTTATACGCTGGGTATGATATAGCGAGTACACATAAACCTCCTCAGCAGTAAACAAGGTTATCAATCAGTTCATTACGATTTTAACTTAGTCGTACCTCCCCCCCCCCCCCCCCCCCTGACTTGTACTTGCATTTTGATACGGTGGTGTGTATGCTACTGGACCTTGTGCGAAGAATGTGTTTTCTTCGCATGCATGGCCTGCGTGTGTGTGTATGTGTGTGTGTGTGTGTGTGTGTGTGTGTGTGTGTGTGTTTGCGTGTGTGTTTGTGCGTGTATGCTTGTGTGTGTGTGTGTGTGTGTGTGTGCGGCATGCGTACATGCGTACGTGCATGCGTGTATGTGCCCGCTTGCGTGTATGTGCCCGCTTGCATATGCCTGCATTCTTGCGTGTGTGTGTGTGCATCTGCAATGTATATGCAGGTGACGATATCGGCCGATGGCTCGGTGGTGGGGGTTGGCGACAGTTCATCTCGTCCTCGTTCCTACTTGGACTACACACAGCTGTGGTATCATATGATTGAAGCACCGCACAGCAAGGTGCAGTAATACTGTAAAACATACAATTTTCGGTGTAACTTTAATTTCTGTGATTTCGGTAGAGAAACCAGGCACCTAAATTTAAATTACACCTAACAGGCACTAGAGTATGCACTGTATGTGAAGGGAACCCTGGTCACCTAATTCTACATTACACCGGAAACCTGGCAGGTCCCTGGCACCGAAATTTTAATGCACCTAAAATTACATGTTTTACAGTAACCACTTGTGCTCTGCTTTGCGGCATGCCACCTGCCCGGGGCCGTAGACTGAACAACAACTTCAAGTCGAGAGTGAATGAAATGTACACCCATACCTCGCTTATCCGGGTGGTCGGGGACCGGGCACTGTCCGTAACTTTGAAGTGTCCGTAACTCCGAATCACACACATGTACATTTTGATGGGGAAGGGCCATAGATACGGCATATGACGTCACCATTTCCACACAAAATTACAGAAGAGTGGTAATATTTCCACTGAAACTCGCCCGAAGGGTGCCCAGGATGAAAGTGCCTGTAAGTTCGGTGTCCAGATAACTGATGAGGTATGAGTCAGTGTATTTCCTTTTCCGTGTGAAAGGATCTATCCGATCAAAAACTGCCAAAATGGAAGCTCTTGTTGGCACAGAGTCTGTGTACATCTGGTACGCAGTCATCATTTACTGTGTTTTCACCAATACAGGCCGAGGCGCTTAGTGGTTTGCGAGCCCTAAAATGTTACCCAATTTGAAAAATATCCACACAAAAGCCCTGAAATGATGTGACGCTAATTTCAGACAGGTGGTAATAAAAGACCGGCGCTAATTTCTGAAAATACCGTAGTTGTTTGTTGTGTGAGCTCTCCGCCCAGGGATAAGTAGACATTTGGTGCATCTGCCACTGTTATTCCACTGAACGTCCCTGTCCACAGCTGTACAGGTCAACCCTCGATAGTACGACATTGGTTACAATACAAACCTCATTAGTAGACAACGATCAGAAATTCCCTGACGCCTGAAACGCGTACATTCACGTCCGCATAGTAGATTATGCTCGTTATAAGACAACCAATTTGAACCTCCCCCCACCCCCCCCCCCTCGGGTTATCTACTAGCAAGGGTAGATAGACCCTGTACTTTGCTTTCATTGTTTGTGTGTTCTGCAGGGCCTTCAGTTGCTCTGGGCCGCTAGGGAGCAGCAGAAGCTGGTGGAGCGCACACTGTACGATGAGCTGATCGCCTCCATTCTCAAGCTGCTCGACAAGCTGGACTTGTCGTCCACGCGCATGGTGGGCCTGGATGGCGAGGTGGGTGCAGAGCATTCTTAGGGGTCGTCGCAAACGTTTTTTTTTTGTCGCCCCTGAAAGCAACATCACTCATGTGTGTGTGTGTGTGGGGGGGGGGGGGGGGGGCAAAATCGCGAGTCGGCAGACACTGTGCGTATACATGTAAATGCATGCAAGTTTGGTCGTCCAGCATAGCAAGCTGCGTTCATTTCAGAGGGAGGGGAGGGGGTCCGAGTACGAAATGAACGATGTTCGTTTCAGGGACGACAAAACAAAAAACGTTTGCGATTACCCCTTACCCACCGGAACTGTTACTTGGAACTCTGCTGTTGTCTACTCCATATCTAGGTTCAGGGGTGTCCATTGGACATGCTATGATCACTACGGTATTGACCATGCAGTGTTTGCCCTGGACACTCCGCTAGTGAGGAGACAACATGCTTTTACCTGTAGGGTTTAAATCTTGTTGAGGAAGGTCCGTGCACGCTGCAGAACGAGCACATGCACTTTTAAAAGTCTTTTACAGACTGTACCATCATGTAATGCTTTCCGATGTCCCCGATCTCCCCGATGTCCCCGATGTCCCCGATCTCCACGATGTCCCTGATGTCCCCGATGTCCCCGAGATCAACTCAACATTTCCGTGAATACCACACTTTGGGTAGGAGTAAGAAAGTTGTTTGCTCGCAAAAATCAAGCTCAACATTTCTGCCTATTTTTTTATTTTTTTGGGGGGGGGGGGTGGAGCACATGAATATTTTGCAGATTTTTATATTTTGCAGATTTTTCATAAAGAGTTTCCTCTCTGCCGTACATGTTCTAAAAACCGTTGAAATTTTCTGAAATTTTTCTTTGTGCTTGTGCTGATCTCAGTTGGAGGTAACTGACGAGAGCACAGACGAAGGCCAGAACAAGGGACAGAGTGGTGCAGACACTGCCACTGCTGCTGCTGCGGTGACGGAGGATGAGGCAGTCGCCGCTAGCTCTGACCCGACGGCCGGTCGACAGGCACGCATGCCCAAGGACTTCCAGATCTTCCTCAACCTGGTCGAGCTCTGCCGGTACGCACTTGTGTGTGTACGTGTGTGTGTGCGTGCGTGTGTGTGTGTGTGTGTGTGTGTGTGTGTGCGTGTGCGTGCGTGCATGCATGCGCGCGTGTGCCTGTGTGTGTGTGGCACTCCGGGACCGGGCACTGCCCACAACATTGAAGTGTTCGTAACTCTGAATCATGCTCGTTTTGACGGCGGACGGGCCGTATATTTGGCATTTGATGTCACTATTTCCACCAATATTGGCTGAAAGAGTTGTAATATTTCCACTAAAACTCACCCGCAGGCTGCCTGGTAGACCGAGGTGCCTGTAACGTCGAGGTCTGGATAGGAGAGAGAGAGGGAGAGAGAGATATGAGTATGGGCTAGAACCATTGCCGTATACATGTACCAATCATTGCCGTATACCAATCATTTGGGTGTGCTGTACCGAGGCTACACACTGTGGACCACATTGAGCCAGTACCTTGTCAATGAAGTACACACATTTCTAGGACCCGGTACAATACAGTCAGACCTCGCTTATCCGGTCCTCTTTTTCCGGATCCCTCTCCACCCGGAAGAAAATAGCTGGTTACAGATTTACAGCATATGAGTACTTCCTCCGCGTCATCGAAATTGTCGCAGTTTGACTTTTGACATAAAACGGGGTATTTACTCACCAGCACTCGTGATACAGGCAAGGAATCGGACATAGGCGATAGTCCTCAGTATAGAGTGACGGCAAAGTTCTAATTTCTGAAATTGGAAGCTGAAGTATTTGAACTAGACGCAATTTCTTCGCTGATGTCGCTGCGACGATAATTTCAACTCGCTGAGATCAGTCAGGCGTTGCAGCCTGCACATTTCTCGTGCCTATGGCCATTCACTCAAGCCTCATCACTGTTTTACCTTAGCTGGGGTGAGAATGACTTCGTGGAACAAGTGGCAGCGCTTGGAGAAACATCGAGGGGTCAGCAAACTAAATGCATGCAACAGCGATAAAATGTGTCGCTCTGGCTGAGACACTCAGTACATGATTGTACCTGCAAGAGCCGTGTAGACTCTACACGTAGTGCTAGTGATGCACGCGCAGGTGCTGTACCAGTGATGTTGAAAAAGAGGTCGCGCTGGACGTGATAGTACACTTACCTGCACGAGCTGTGACCACACAGCTAAAATAAATGGGCATGCCACGGCTAAAAAAAGTTCATTTCAAGATCGAGGTGATTCCGCCGAGGGTAATAAACCGACCTCGCAACGATCGTGTATTCATACTTCGTTGGTGGTGAAGTAGAAATCATCCAGAGCTAGCAGACGACAAGCATAGCGGCTCTTGTCCTGTTGAGAAAGTCAAAGCGTTTGAGATGAGGCGCGACCAACTTTCAACCTTCCTTGAAATATTTCGGAACGATATTTTTGCGTCCATTGACATCAGCGACGACGAAGACTTCATCTCGGCGTGAAAACTCTCAGTCCAACTGTCCTGGAACGTTACTCTACTCTTCAGACTGTCATACTGTGTTATAATTTTTGAATGGTTTAGCTTATGGAGTTGTCAGTAACAAGTGACAAGTCACTAGTCAAACTGCGACAATTTCGATGACGCGGAGGAAGTACGTGATGCATCCAACATAGCCGGTGTCCGATCATCCGGTTCCCTCGCCTATGCGGGTATTTGTTGTGGAAAACGAATGTATGCGGTTATGCGAGGTCTGACTGTATTCTGATGGTTTACTTTATTTCTCCTAGTCGCTTGGAACTCTTCCCTGCTGCTTCACGTCGAAATGTTCTTTTACATGGAAATTCCGACTTGAAAGTTACTAACGCCGTAAAAGCCGTATCAATAAAAAAAAAGTAGTGTTGGTCCACTTCGTTGTTTGTTCATTGCTCTTGTTATCCGCGTGGGTTGCTTGTGTTGCTCGTCATTTGTTCATCGCTATCGTTTGAAACATTTTATTCTCACGATGGCCTGTGGCCAATAAGAGAAGAAGGAATAGGGACACGGGGATCGGATAAAGAGAAATCACAATTTAGCTGAGTGATAAAATAGTAACGATGCTAATAAAGAGTTTATCACACTGAGTGAACACAATGGGACTATGGGGATATGCTGAGCAATGTGAGCAGGGCACAATGGGGCTATGGGGATATGCTGAGCAATGTGAGCCGGGTACAATGGGGCTATGGGGATATGCTGAGCAATGTGAGCAGCTACATACTGAAGAGACAGCTAGAGGTAGTAAGTTTGCTTTGGTTTTTGTCCTGTGTGTTGCTTGTGTCTCAGCTGGTTGCTGCCGCGTGTTCGCACGCCGTTCTTCAGTGACTGGGTGTTGCCGTTCTGTCGACAGCTCATCGTGCACTCTAGCAAGTAAGTACTCTACAGTCCGTACGAGTACATCAACTCTGCAAGGTCTGTAGGCGTGCTAAGCTGCGAGACTGCTTCCGGTCAAGTTTGGGAAAGCATGTGGATTTCAATCTCACATTAATGTCAATGATGCCTCGGAAGCCAGTGCGGAAGTCTTGTGCAATCTCACTTTTCTATGTGTTTGATGTGCACCATGGACACGTCAGTCGTATCGCCTGTTATAGCCTCTGTGTGTGTGTGTGTGTGTGTGTGTGTGCATTCGTTTGTTCGTGTGTATGTGATATGCTGTGTGTGTGTGTGTGCGTTTGTGTGTTTGCGTGTGTATTTTGTGCATGTGTGTGTGTGCGCATGTGTGTACATGGGTGCACGTGCGTTTACATGTGTGTGTGCATGTGTGCGCGTGCGTTTGCATGTGTCTGTGCATGTGTATATCCAGATACCCTCTCGTCAGTGGTTTCTACAAGCTATTGTTGGTTGCCATGAAGATCTGCAGCAGGATATCGTATTTCAAGGTGAGCTCGCTGGTCAAACACATCACCCAGCATCATCTGTATGTGTCTTTATGTCGACAATTCCAAATGTCTGCTTTTTCACAGAGCAGGCGAAGCGAAACCTAGTTTTGCCTTCTTTGTAAGTAAGCTCTGCTCGTTGTGGTGCTGAGCAGTGTGTGTGTGTGTGTGTGTGTGTGTGTGGACATAGGAAGAACTCTACTGCGTATACCGAAACCAAGAGAACAAACTGTGCGGTAACCATTCTTTTGTTGGTGATAGATAACTGCAATGGGAACGCCCACGTCAGAGATAAATGTGAAATGTGAAATGTATGTGTGAAAGGAAAAAAATTTTCAGAACCCACTGTGTATACGCTCTTTTAGTCGCAGTCTTGCATATCATGGTGATTCAGCCCTGGCATCTAGCATGCCATGGTGGTTCGTCAAGTTAACTCGTCTGCTTTGGCTACGTGTGTGCGTATGTTTCTAGGCATGTGTTCTGTCTGTTTTCCGTATTTTCCGGAGTATATGCCGCACCAAGATTTTTCGTCATAAAATACAGATATCTTCCCCGTTTGACTCGGGAGAATGAAGTTGAAGACACCACTGCAGCTGTACTTATGGTTGATAAATATGGTGTGTTTACCGCCACATTGCCAGGTGTGTCTTTGCCATCATATTTATCAATCTTCCCCCATTTACCACCATTAATTTGACCATGGTAATATAAGCCGCTCCACGACTTCTTTTGGGGGAATTCCTAGTGTTTAAAGTGCGACTTCAGGGATCGATTTATCCGGGTTCGCATCGCAGTTTGCGAATCAAAATTCACTGGCTGCGATTCGATTTTAGTTTTTTATCGCCCAAAACTGCGATGCACTACGAAGACCAGTTGTGTGCAGTTGGCATGCGACTGTTGTACACACTGCTGACTAGGGAGTAGTATTTTACTACTCCAACCAACTCAACTGGCCTGTCCTGCTCAGTCCGCGCGCGGGTCGCGGATCGCGCTCTTTCGATTTTGGACACTGCACTAGCACTGGTCGTACGCGACTGCAGTCTTCTGAAGTTTTGTACGCGGCGGTGACTTTTCCTGATGTTCTCCTTTCTTCTTTCACTGTCAAGCTCAGTTTGTTTCTGTTCGACAAGGCACAGTTGAAGTAGACGGTTCTTAGTCTCATCTAGCGAACATGTCAGTGAATCTGATCAGTGATTCACTGTCCAGAAGAGGGACAAAGAACTGGACGCGCCAGGAATGTCGATTCGTTTCGATAAAGAAAAGGAGAAAAGCGAAATTCGATGCGCTTTGCACAAAATGTCACGATCGTTTGAGCGCTTTCCTGAGGTTTCTTTGTCGAAGGAATCAGTGGAACTGCCCTGTTGAAGGACATTGTGTTGTGAAGAACTCGAAGTCGGATGGACGCTGAACATGTAACGTGCCCAAGCGAAAACTCTAACGTAAATCTTCGGGTCGAACATTCGCTTGGAAAAGCAAATAGCAACTGCAGCTATTGTCCTCTTCTGTACGAAATCCTGCTATTGTACAGCTATAAATGTAAAAGGAAAACTGCTAATCAATACTGGGAGTTGCTGGTCAATTGTAAAACTGTGTAGCAGTGACTGCTATGCAAAAAAATCAAAGTAAATCGATCCCTGGACTTATACATGTACTCCGGAGAATACGGTATCTGTCTCACTATCTTTCTTGATACTGACGAATACTGATCTATGAAGTCTGTGTGTCTGGCTGTTTGTCAACCCGCCCGTCCACCCGTCCGTCCGTCCGTCCGTCTATATGTCCTGATAGGAATGTCAAGCGCAGGAAGTGGGTGACGACGCTATGGACACAGCATCCAGCTCATCGGCTGTTCACCAATGCTTCGCACTGCTGCAGAAGTTCACTGCCGAGGTAAGCAGTATTCTTTATTGACGGCCGCTACAGTTGAGAGACCATTAGGGGTAGCCAGGCGCGTAGCCTGCATGGGGCACGGGGGGCACTTGTGCCCCCCACCCCCTAAAAGTGTTGACCTAGGTTCAGCATGCACATGATGACCATGAATACGGGGGGGGGGGTACGTGCCCCCCCCCCCCTTCAAAAAAAGTTTCGACCTAGGTTCAGCATGCACGTGATGATCATGAATGACATGCGCCAGCTATCCTACACCCATGTATCCATGTACCCCCCCCTCCCTAAAAGGGGGACCAGCTACGCCCCAGGTAGTGGCGTATACTTGTTGAGAGAACTACAGTAACTGTTTAAGTGAGTGGTACTCCGACTGATGTGTTTTTCCATTGAGCGTCAAAGAACAAGCATTTGCCAAATACAGTGTACTCTACTGGCTTTTACGTAGTGACTCCACTACGTGTGGGCTAGAGTTCAGTAAAACCAAGAGTACATAACCCCCCAGAGTGTGCAACGCCGATCCAGCTCTGCATAGGGTCTTGGTCGAGCGGAATCGGATCTTCTGATGTCATGCGTACACTCCACACCAGTGCAAGGCCGGTCTCGAGGCAGGGCACCATTGTTTTTGATCCAAGAGTACCCGCGACTCCCCGGGTTCCCCTCAGATTTGTACGGTATTATGACGCAAAGATCCGATTCCGCTCGACCAAGACCCTATGCAGAGCTGGATCAGGCGTTGCACACTCTGGGGGGTTATGTACTCTTGGTAAAACCTGTCATTGCCGGACGCCCTAGCCGAAATTATGGTTGTATTCAGCATTGATGTTGTTGTCCTGTGTCAGGATGGCCGAGCGGTCTAAGGCGCCAGACTCAAGGTCCTGTGTACCTTCTGCAGTCAATGCAGATTGGGAGCCTTCTGGTCCACGTATGTGGGCGTGGGTTCGAATCCCACTTCTGACACTCATTTTTTTTCTTTTTTACACCAGAATCATCTCGATTAGAAACGTGGCTTTTTATTTTTATCAATGTTCTCAATATTCTCAGGGCTACACTATTCATGACAAGAGTGTGCAACACCTTTCTTGACAGCTGCGATGTGTGGAGTTTTTTCTACAATCCTTTCCTTTGCTTCGACTACTGTGGTTGCGATGTACAATTGCGATACGTACCGTGAACTCGTGTATAAACGCCGAGGCTATAATTTTTGACTTTTTAGGGAACTTTCGCAGGCTTTTTTGCTAGACAGGCTTGTATGTGAATTGTAGTACCAGTATTCTGGTTCGTTGAATACAGGTATGCTCAATATACAGGTATGCTCAATATCGCCGGCATCACAGCCATTTCAGCACAAATCGGTTTGGTTACGCATCTTTTTCTACACATTTCGTCTGTTGATATCTGATCAACGCCACGAGTTTACATTCCCGTGTGGCTCAGTTATACATACGACAGTGGATGTAGTGTAGCTTGTACAATCTACTGATCAAGGACAGTAAGAGTGAGCGTAGTGTCACATTTTGAAGCCGCGGCCACTATACAAGGGCGGCTTATGTGCGATTTGATGTTTCCAAAAGTGCGGCTTCTATTCGAGGTCGGCTTTTATTTAGGTGCGGCTTTTATACAAGACTTTCCGGTACGCGGAGACACCTCGTATCAAGCCAAGACGTATGGGGAAGCCATGAATAAAAATACGAAAAATCTACAAAACTACATTCATCGCCTTTTGTACTTAATACATGCAATCGGTCAATCAAGATGAAACTCTCATGGACTTTCCCACACCCAGTAGCGTTGTCCTGTGTCAGGATGGCCGAGCGGTCTAAGGCGCCAGACTCAAGGTCTTGTGTACCTTCTGCAGTCAATGCAGATTGGAGCCTTCTGGTCCACGTATGTGGGCGTGGGTTCGAATCCCACTTCTGACACTCATTTTTTTCTCTTTTCTTTACCAAACAGTATTCCCCCAAATAGAAGTCACATCTTTCTTTCTTCTTTTTTTTTAGATAATAGTGAGTTTCTGCTACACGGAACTACGTACCAAACTCTGTGTCAACTGCAGTGCAGTTGGACACGGGTTTTTCGTACGTTGCGCCGGTTCTGCTGTGCGTAGCATGCTCTAACTTCCCGCCACATGTACCCTGTGCGCTCAGTTTGGACCAGTCGGTGTGAAGTGCGCTTCACACGGAAAAACCGTATGAAAAAATCCGTGTGAAACTTGATCTCGAACCGCGGCAAAGTTTCCATACATACTATGGTACGGTTTACCGTGTAGCAGAAACTCACTAAAAGGGACGTTTAGCAACGCGAAAGTTCGAAAGAAAAAGGGATTGCATTGCAATCAAGTGTGACCTTTCGGTCAAGTGAGCGCACTGAAACTTTACGACCGAGATCTGAAAATGTCAGTGAGTGCAATTTATATTTGTATGCGGCTGGTAATCAGGAACAAACAAGTGCGAGTTGAGTTGTTCATGGCCACTGGTTGTTGTTCCATCTTGTACATGTATGTATTTGGTGTTGTGTGCATGTCTGCTCTAATGGCAGGTTCTGATACGGTGTCGCCAGTACAAAGACGATCTACTCGCCTCATGCCTCCAGTTTGTGCTGGCGTTGCCCGTGGAGCTTGTTGCCATGGATACAGAGCGTCTCGTTCCTTCTCTGCAGGTGAGCACAATCGTCAGTGTGCATGCTACCGAGATAGGGGAATTCCCTTTCATGGATCGGTCCTGTATACCTTTCATGGACAGGTGCAGTTTGCTATTGGGACTAGGGGAGTTCCCTGTCATGGACTGATACTGTATGCTACTGGAATTAGGGAGTTCCCTTCATGGACAGGTTCCGTTTGCTACAGGTATAAGGGAAATTCCCTTCATGGACCAGTCTACCTGCGCTGTGAAGACTTGACCATTACATATTGGGCAATGCGTAGTGACGATGCCTCTTACACAATGTGCATAGCAAAACTGTTACAATTGTTCTGGTGGTGACAGTCAATGTTTTCTTCAGACTTTCCCGTTTGCATATTTCCCTCAAACCAATGACTTGTTTTTTCCTTTCCTTTTTCAATTTCCTGCTCACCTTGTGTTGTGTGTTGTTTTCTTGCAGCTTGCGTTACAGCTGGGTCTGAGCTATCTGCCGCTTGCCGAGGCTGCTCTCGATGCCATGGAGACGTGGAGCAATCGTCTGACAAAGCAAATGCAGCCGCTATTCGGCAGTATTCTGCCATGTTTGGACGACTACCTGCGTACAACGCCGCAAACAGGTAGGGGCAAGAGTACTTGAATAGCAGTACCGTAAAGTACCACATGAGCGCCCCGCCGTCTCGTCCTTCCGTGGTCGTCTTGTGGAGGTGGTGTCCTGTCTGAAGGTCAAGCGACACGGACCTTGTACACACATTGCATGTTGTGGAGTCAATCCGTACTCAATTTACCTTCGAGCTGATGCGAGCTCCATGCAAGAACATGCAAAGTGTGACCTTAGTACGCTAAAGTTCTCACACCGGACGAACTTAGTAGCACTCTGCCATACCTTTTCCTTCCCTTGGCCGTAAAATCAAGGTGGGGCGCTCTCGCAAGACGGGGCACTCTGGCGAGACAGGGCGCTCTGGCGAGACGGGGCGCTCTGGCGAGACGGGGCGCTCTGGCGAGACGGGGCGCTCTGGCGAGACGGGGCGCTCTGGCGAGACGGAGCGCTCTGGCGAGACGGGGCGCTCTGGCGAGACGGGGGCGCTCTGGCGAGACGGGGGCGCTCTGGCGAGACGGGGGCGCTCTGGCGAGACGGGGTGCTCTGGCGAGACGGGGTGCTCTGGCGAGACGGGGCGCTCTGGCGAGACGGGTCACTCTGGCGAGACGGGTCACTCTGGCGAGACGGGGCGCTCTGGCGAGACGGGTCACTCTGGCGAGACGGGTCACTCTGGCGAGACGGGTCACTCTGGCGAGACGGGTCACTCTGGCGAGACGGGGCACTCTGGCGAGACGGGGCGCTCTGGCGAGACGGGGGCGCTCTGGCGAGACGGGGGCGCTCTGGCGAGACGGGGCGCTCTGGCGAGACGGGGCGCTCTGGCGAGATGGGGCGCTCTGGCGAGACGGGGCGGGGCGCTCTGGCGAGACGGGGCGCTCTGGCGAGACGGGGGCGCTCTGGCGAGACGGGGGCGCTCTGGCGAGACGGGGGCGCTCTGGCGAGACGGGGGCGCTCTGGAGAGACGGGGCGCTCTGGCGAGACGGGGCGCTCTGGCGAGACGGGGGCGCTCTGGCGAGACGGGGCGCTCTAGCGAGACTGGGCGCTCTGGCGAGACGGGGCGCTCTGGCGAGACGGGGGCGCTCTGGCGAGACGGGGGCGCTCTGGCGAGACGGGGGCGCTCTGGCGAGACGGGGGCGCTCTGGCGAGACGGGGCGCTCTGGCGAGACGGGGGCGTTCTGGTGAGACGGGGGCGTTCTGGCGAGACGGGGCGCTCTGGCGAGACGGGGCGGGGCGCTCTGGCGAGACGGGGCGCTCTGGCGAGACGGGGTGCTCTGGCGAGACGGGGCGGGGCACTCTGGCGGTACTATATGGTACATGGTCCACAGTAAAACCTGTCCATCCCCTCTACTGAGCAATTTTATACTGGCAGCCTTTTAGTGCCTGAATCTCGAATCCTCTTTTTAAGTTGTTTCCCATGCAATGTCAGTCGATGTTGGATGATGGCTTGCCCTCTGGATTCTAGTTGCTTCTTCTGGCAACAAATCTGTATGTTCGTGATGTGAAGCAGCCAAGTTTGTTTCACACCTGTGTGTGTGTGTGTGTGTGTGTGTGTGTGTGTTTGTGTGTGTGTGTGTGTGTGTGTGTGCGTGCGTGCGTGCGTGCGTGCGTGCGTGCGTGCGTGCGTGTGTGTGTGTGTGCATGTGCGTGCGTGCGCGCGTGTGTCTGTGTGTGTCTGTGTGTGTCTGTCTGTGTGTGTATCTTCAGTAACGGAAGGTGCTGATGCTGCGGAGAAGCGCAAGCTCACTGTTATGGTATTGAAGTCAAAACGTCAAACGACCGCACACGGACGCAAGTTGCCACTGCGAGTCCTGCGCGCTTTGAGCAAGAACAACAAGGTACACTTATCTGTTATTGTGACCGACTGTAACATGTGTGAAATGGAGTGCCGCTCTCTTTGGCCAGTACGATGATATGTCGCAGAGCGAGGCCATCCAGATATTGGCCGGGACCATGACCTGGTGTTGGGCAGGACTATGACCTGGTGTTGGGCAGGGCCATGATCCGCTGTTGGGCAGGACTATACATGACCTGGTGTTGGGCAGGACTATGACCTATTGTGGGGCAGAGCCATGCCCTGGTGTTGGGCGGGGCCTTGACCCAGAGGTGGGGCAGGTCCATGATCTGCTTTTGGGCAGGACTGTGTATGACCCAGTGCTGAGCAGGGGCATGCGGGTGTTGCGCATGGTCAGGACCTGTTTTTTTGTTTTGTTTTCGGGCAGGACTACGATCCGCTGTGTTCTAGAACTGATATGCAAAACCTTGCTTGGTTTCGTGCCATCTCCTCTCTTTGCTAGCAACTTGCAATCGTGTCAGGACAGCACCCATAGTCGAGTCCTCTCTTTGCTAGCAGCTTGCAATCGTGTCAGGACAGCACCCATAGTCGAGTTGCACACCACTGGTACATGTATCTGGACTCAACTTTTTTCTTCTTCTGTTTGCAATTGTGTTGTTTGTTTGTACATTCTGACTGTGGGTGGGTTGTGAATTGCGTGGCCTCTCTAGGGTGACGAGCCGGCTCTGACCCGAGTGCGTCATCGTATTGTTCATTTGCTGGGTTCTCTGGGCGGCCACACCAGCCTGCAACTTGTGCGCGGCAGGGCCGATGACACATCCTCTTCCGCATCGTCATCATCACTGTCCAACAGCGGACCGGCGGCTGGCGGTGCAGGGACGTTGTCCCCGGCTGCCACATCCGCTGTGGCGTGGGACAGCAAGCGTCGCCTGGAGTTCGCCGTGCCCTTCATTGACATCAAGCCCAATATTCACCTGGGTTAGTTGTTCATAGTACACATTGCACCCCCCCCCCCCACACTACTTTTTCTGTCTGTTTATCTGCTAATCTGTGATTTGTTTGTAGTCTTTTTTTTCTCTCTTTTTTCTAGTTCTTGCCCAAGGTGGGTTGTTGGGGGTGTAGGTAGGGTGTTCTTGGCAACAGGTCTCAGGTGTTTTCATGCAAAGAGAGTCACCACCACCGTGTTTTGTCCATGTATGGTGATTGTTTGTGTGTGTGTGCGTTTGTGTGCGTGCGCGCGTGTGTGTGTGTGTGTGTGTGTGTGTGTGTGTGTGCGCGCGTGCGCGCACGCGTGGATGTGGGTGTGTGGGTGTGTGTACACCCATGTGCGTATGTGTGTATTTGTACTTGTGTGTGAGCGTTGTCTTCCTGCTGTCAGATCCGTTCTTGCCCCGGATTGTAGAACTTGCAACGTCATCCAGTGATCGGCAGACCAAGGTTTGTTCCCTTGCGGGTGTTCGGCTGGTCAGTCAATGGTGCAGCCAGTCAGTTGGGCAGTCAGCTGAGTGCGTAATCAGTCAATTGGGCAGCCAGTCAATTGGCAGCCAGTCAGTTGGGCATTTTGTGTTTGTGTGTTTCTGATTGTTTGTACTGGTATATATTTTATCGCCCACGAAAATCTTATGAGCTCGAATTGGCACCTGCAATTAATTGCATGTTCTTTTCCAGAGGGAGCATTCATTCCTGTTCCCAATTACCTGCCCCAGATCTATCTATCACAGCTTATTAACTGTGTTTGTGTGTGTGTGTGTGTTTGTGTGTGTGTGTGTGTGTGTGTGTGTATGTGTGTATGTGTGTTTGTGTGTATGTGTGCGCGCGTGCGTGTGTGCATGCATGTGTATGTGTGTGCGCATGCGTGAGTGTGTGTGTGTGTGTGTGTGTGTGTGTGTGTGTGTGTGTGTGTGTGTGTGTGTGTGTGTGTGTGTGCATGTGTGTGTGTGTGTGTGTGTACCTGTGTGTGTGTGTGTGTGTACGTGCATGCGTGGGTACGCACTTATGCGTGCATGTACATATGTGTATGTGACTATGTGTGTGTATGTACATACATCTGCACACATGTGTGCATGTACACTATAGGTTGTGGCATGTGAGTGTCTCCACTCACTGGCTGTCTACATGATAGGCAAGGGATCACGCCAACCAGACGGCGCTGAAAAGGTGAGAGTCAACATTTTCTAGGACGGTGCTGCAGGTCCAGAGGTATGTAGGCCTGAGGGTGGAGTGTGGCGAGGAGTATGTAAGCCTGAGGGTGAAGTGGGGCCAGGAGTATGTAGGCCTGAGAGTGGAGTGTGGTGAGGAGTATGTAGGCCTGAGGGTGGAGTGTGGCCAGGAGTATCAGCTTACACTGCTCTTTGACTCAGCAGCAGCAGCAGCAGCAGCAGCAGCAGCAGCAGCAGAAGCTCGTGCGGCCGTGCGTGTGTTTGTGTGCTTATTTTTTGCTTTTCCAAACGGATAGTATGTACTTTACGTAGGAGTCTTTGCTATATATACTTGTAATTAAAACAGAGAGGTTCCAGGCTGTCCAATTGAGCACTCAATACCAAAAGGCAGAGCTAGTTCAAACAATAATAAGAGGATGAAAAAAGTGTTTTTACTCCGAGTTTCACGCACTCATCGCACAGCGATCACCAGAAAACAGACTTGTAATTATCCATTCTGCATATATATATACATGCACTCTGCGCTAACATCACACTGCTAGCGCTGCCATTACCTCTACAACCTCTACCTACAACATCCACACACCTTGCTCACTACCTCCTGCCCGCACCAGCCACACATTCTGCGCTACCATTGCATGGCTAGCCCTGTCACTGCCTCTACAGCCCCGTGCCTACAACAATCACACACTCTGCGCACATCCTCCTGCCTAAAATAACACCTCTAGCCCTGAACCTTATACAGCCCCCACATTCACACACAGCTTTTCATACAGCGCTACAAGACCCACCCTCTCCTGGCATATACATATATACCGGCATGGTCGGCACCCCATCCTCATGTTGCGTGATGATTGCGTAAGCATGAAACTTTAAGTAGCAGCAAACAAGCCTTAGTTGTCCTTGTTGTTCTGTAATTATCTATTCTGTGTAAATTGACTACACACCATTGTTGCACTTTGTGGTCAGCCACAGAGTGCAACAGTGGTGGTGGTAATGTAGTCAATTTTACGCAGAATTTTCAACAGCCGAATGCTGCTGCTTACCTTCTGTTTGTGTGTGTGTGTGTGTACGTGTATGTGTATGTGTGTGTGTGTGTGTGTATGTGTATGTGTGTATGTGTGTGTGTATGTGTGTGTATGTATGTGTGCGCATGTGTGTGCATGTGTGTACGTATGCTTGCGCGTGCCTGTTTCCGCTGTGCAGAGTCCGATGGGCAAGCTGTACAAGCGAGTATTCCCGGTGTTCATGCAACTGGCGTGTGATGTGGAGCTGGTACGTTCTTGCTCTTGGATTCTGTGTCTTGCTATACATCGTCCTAAAGGTGGATGTTAACTTTTGTTAACTTTGTTGTTGTCACGATCCCTATTGCATGTAGTTAACCTCCTTGTACCGTAGCATTTAGTTTAAAAACTTTGCATTTCGGGTTTTGTCCAATCTGTTATTCCATTATGGCTGGTGCCCTCGATGACATGAAATACTGATGGTGCTCTGGACCAGAACTTTGCGAATATGTAGCACTGGGATGCACCAAAGTCCCTGTAACCTCCGCCGGTTCTGGTGACCAAGCACATGTCTATGGCAAGTGGGGGTTTCCACATACAATGTAGGTGCAAGATGTTTGCAAGTTGTGCAATGCCATGTTGTGCGGTGCGTGTTTGCGCATTGCGTTTGCGCATTGCGTGCTTGCGTGTTGTGTGTTTGTGCGTTGTGTGTTTTCACATTTTTTGTTTTGTTTTTGCACGTTGTGTGTTTGTACGTTGCATGTTTGCGCATCGTATGTTTGCGCGTTGTCCATCCATTGCAGGTTGCCGTTCAGCTCTTTCGTCCGCTAGTGTTTCAGCTGATCCACTGGCTGACCAGCAACCGTACGTTTGAGAGCACGGAGACCATGGTGCTGCTGGACGTGATCCTGGACGGTCTGGTGCAGGCGGAGAACACACAGCTGCGTGACTTCTCGGCCAGCTGTGTGTGCGAGTTCCTGACCTGGTCCATCAAGCAGAGCTCAGCACAGCAGCTGGAGAAGAGCCCCATCAACACCAAGTCACTACTGAAGGTAATGGACATTGCCTTACAAACGCATGTACACACACGTACACACGTACACGTACACACACACATACACACACGTACACACACATACACACATGCGCATGCACGTGTGCGTAGTGTGCAAACGTCTGCAGTGCCATCACTCAGAGTTTTATGCTCATAATCCAATACTCTTTTTACTCATACACTGTATCTTTTGCAATACTCATACGCCATATCTGATGTGTGTGTGTGTGTGTGTGTGTGTGTGTGTGTGTGTGTGTGTGTGTGTGTGTGTGTGTATTCTGTCTTTCTGTCTGTCTGTCTATCTGTCTGTCTGTCTGTCTGTCTGTCTGTCTGTCTGTCTGTCTGTCTGTCTGTCTGTCCTGTCTGTCCTGTCTGCCCTGTCTGTCTGTCTGTCTGTCTGTCTCTCTGTCTGTGGTACAGCGTCTGTTCAGCCTAGCTCTGCATCCGAGTGCTTTCAAGCGTCTCGGAGCAGCACTGGCCTTCAACCATATCTACACAGTGCTCCGTGAGGAAGAGTCCCTCGTCGACATGTTTGCTATAGAGATACTTGTGAGTACACGGTTGTGGACAGCTTGCAACCGAGGAGAGGTGTCTGGAGTCTGTGCGTGGTTGTTTGGTGCATGGTTGTTCGGTGCATGGTTGTTCGGTGCATGGTTGTTCTGTGCATAGTTGTTCTGTGTATGGCTGTTTTGTGCATTGTTGTTCTGTGCATGGCTGTTCTGTGCATGGTTGTTCTGTGCATGGCTGTTCTGTGCATGGTTGTTCGGTGCCTGGCTGTTCTGTGCATGGTCGGTCTGTGCATGGTTGTTCTGTGCATGGTTGTTCTGTGCATGGTTGTTCTGTGCATAGCTGTTCTGTGCATCATTGGCCTGTGCATAGTTGCTCTGTACATAGTTGGTCTGTGTGTAGCTGCATACGTTTGCATATCACGGTAAAACAACAGTGGAGCAAGGCTAGCTCGTTGCAACTCTGAGTTTCTTGCTCCGTGCAGTCATCAGGCTACACACCTGAGAGATAGACCATGCCGCACTCTCCTTTGTCCTGAGCAAGTGTGTATATGTGTGTGCTTGTGTGTGTGTGTGTCTGTCTGTCTGTGTGTCTGTGTGTCTGTGCGTCTGTCTGTGTGTGTGTGTGTGTGTGTGTGTGCGTGTGTGTGTGTTTATGTTTGTGGCCTGTCTGTGTGTATACGTCCATGTGCGTTTTTTGTGCACGTGTGTATGTGTAGGTGAACTTTTTGTTGAGCCTGCGCATGGCACACCAGGACGCATCAGCACTGGGAACCCAGGAGCACTGCTGCACGGCGATACGTCATCTGCAGAGGATTCTCAAAGTCAAGGCCAAGCTCTTTATCAAGTGAGTGCGAGACGACGGTGTTCACAGTTTGGGAATGGGAGCTTTGTGTGTATGTCCAGTGCATCGTAATGAAATCTGATAGCTTTGTGTGTATGTCCAGTGCATCTTAATGAAATCTGATTGAGTGAGTTAGTTTAGTGCCGGGTGCTGTTCAGTCCCAGATTTGTGGATACTGCTGGGCTGTGCGCTGGTGCAGTCTGCTACACAGTCCCAGACCTGCAAAAACTGGGCTGTACACTGGTGCAGGGCACTGTGCAGTGCCAGACCTGCAAACACTGGACTGTGCACTGTTGCAGGGCGCTGTGCCGTCCAAGACCTGCAAACACTGGACCTCACGTACCCACATACCCACACGTACTGTAAAAGCAGAAATTTTCGGTGGTGTTTTATTTTCGGTATTAAACTTCGGTGCCAACAATTTTTACCGAAAATAAAGCGCACCAAAAATTTCGGTACTACCGGTACTGTATACATGTACCGTAAAGTACCGCCAGAGCGCCCCACCATCTCATCCTTTCGTGGTCGTATTGTGGAGGTGGTCTGCTGTCTGTAGGTCATACGACATGAACCTTGTACACATATTGCACGTTTTGCAGTCAATCCGTACCTTCGAGCGGACACAAGCTCCACACAAAAACCTGCCAAGCGTGACCTTGTAGTACACTAAGAGTCTCACATCGTACAAACTTCGTTGCACTCTGCCATACGATTTTCCTTTCGCAGGCTGTAAAATCAAGGTGGGGCGCTCTCGCGAGACGGGGAGCTCTGGCGGTACTTTACGGTAGTACTAGTACACTTACCTGGAAAACGGGTTTTACCGAAAATTTCCCTCCACTGAACCGCCGATTTTGGAGAATACCGAAAATATTACACCACCGAAAGTTTCTGCTTTTACAGTATGTGCAATGCAAGCAGGATAGCACATGTGCTTGAGAAAGAATCATACTCCCAACGTTAGGACTCACTGGAGCTTCATATCCTCTTTATTTCTGCCATAATTCATCTGGGTGAGCTGGGCTGAAGCAGAAAAAAAGAAGAAAAAGAAGTGCCGAAACCCGGGATTGAACCAGGGACCTTTAGATCTTCAGTCTAACGCTCTCCCAACTGAGCTATTTCGGCTTGACAATTATGGCAGGTTGCGAGCCTTTGATGATGTGGCAACGGAGCATCTTGTAATAGGCACTACTGTCCTATTCTTCAGCTGTGTTCACAACTGGCGCGTGGACACATGAAACCACGCGTTTGTGCGTATTTTGCTGGCTTTTGGGGCGCCATGCGTATGGAAATGCGTCGAAATGGAACGTCCAACATGTTGGAATTGTCAGCTCGTATCAGGCGCGTGCCAGCGTACATGCCAGTCACTTTGACTTGCAGGGTCAAAAAATTAGTACTCGATCGAAGGCGTCGCACGCCCTAAGTACGAGTCGAATTGCTGTTTTTTTTCTGGGGTGTCGGCCGTTGGGCGGTTCAATAGCCAATTGAGTCATCTTTCCAAGATTCCTTTTGAGTCTCTCTCCC